GGTGGGGCGGTCAATTAGCATATTCCCTCCTTATTGGCTGTGGGCGCCACCATCTTTGCGACGGCATGAGGGTCAATTAGCATATTACCTCTTTATTAGATAAGATTGGCTGTTAGTATGTCTTCTTGGGAGAGGTGTATTTTCAGGTCCTCTGCCCACTTTTTGATTGGATTGTTTGTTTGGTGTTGGGTTTTATGAGTTTTTTTATATACTTAGGAAATTAAAACCTTCGTTTGAGCTACTGTTTGCAAATATCATCTCCCACCTTGTTGGCTGCCTCTTTGCTTTGTTGTCCATTTCTTTTGCTGTTTAGAAGCTCTTCAGTTTAATATGGTCCCATTCATTTCTTTTTGCCTTTACCTCCCTTGCCTTTGAGGTCAAGTTCATAAAATGTTCTCTATGACCCAATTCCATAAGTTTGGTACCTATATTTTCTTCTCTGTAACTTATATTTTTGGGTCTTATGTTTCTGTCTTTGATCCATTTTGTTTTCCTTTATGCTTCTCCCTGTTGTTTTTGTTTGGTGGTATTCCATACTTCTTTCCTTTGTTTCCTCTTTTTTTTTTTAACGTTCTATGTTCTGGTTTGGGGATTTGTGTGTGTGATTACCATTAGGTTTATAAAAAATGAAGTTGCATATATACTGTAGTTTTTTTTTTCTTTTTAGTGCATCTGACCTTCATCTTTCTTTGCCAGTTCAGAACTTTCCCCCTCCCCTTTTATGTTCTTGTTGTCACAAATTATCCCTGTTTATGCTGTTTTTTTGGAGATCTTACTCACAGTGTTGTGAACTTATGTTCTTTGTTTCAGTTAAATAACTCCTTGAGTATTTCCTGCAACGGATATTTTCTGATGATAAAACATCTTAGTTTCTGTATGTCTGGGAATGTCTTTATTTCTCCTTCATATTTAAAGGATAATTTTGCTGGATATATTATTCATGGCTGGAAATTTCTCTCTTTCCGATGTTTGAATAATTGGTTCCATTCTCTCCTGGCTTGTAGAGTTTCTGCTGAGAAATCAAATAAAATTCTGATGGGTTATCCTTTGTATGTTACTTCCTACTTTTCCCTGACTGCTTTCAGAATTTTTTCTTTGTCATTAATTTTTGACAGGTTTAATACCAACTGCCTTGGAGAAGGCCCCTTTGGATTGAGGTAACTAGGTGTTCTATTTGCTCTTGGATTCAAGGATCTAGTTCTTTCCATTGATTTGGGAAGTTCTCATCCATTGTTTGTTTTAAGAGATTCTCCATTCCATGCTTCTTCCTTTCCTCTTCCTGAATCCTATAATTCTAATATTGCTTTTTCTGATGGATTCAGATAGGTCTCATAGAGCTGTTTCATTTTTCTTTATGCTCAGGTCTCTCTCTTCTTCCCTCAGCATCATTTCTTGATTCCTATCTTCAATATCTTAATTATTTTCCTCCATCTGGTTGCTTCTGTTTTTTATGTTCAGTAGTTCACTCTTAATCTCTTTAATTTCATACTTCCTTTCCAGGATTTCTGATTGGTTCTTTTTAAAGTTTCCATTTCTTTGGTAAAGTTCATGTTTTGTTCATTGATTTGTTTTCTGAGTGCACTGAATTTCTTGTCAGTATTTTCTCGCATCTCATTAAGTATTTTCAGAACTGCAATCTTGAAATCTCTGTCATTTATATCAGATATTTCCATGTGACTGCTTTCAGAATTTTTTCTTTGTCATTAATTTTTGACAGGTTTAATACCAACTGCCTTGGAGAAGGCCCCTTTGGATTGAGGTAACTAGGTGTTCTATTTGCTCTTGGATTCAAGGATCTAGTTCTTTCCATTGATTTGGGAAGTTCTCATCCATTGTTTGTTTTAAGAGATTCTCCATTCCATGCTTCTTCCTTTCCTCTTCCTGAATCCTATAATTCTAATATTGCTTTTTCTGATGGATTCAGATAGGTCTCATAGAGCTGTTTCATTTTTCTTTATGCTCAGGTCTCTCTCTTCTTCCCTCAGCATCATTTCTTGATTCCTATCTTCAATATCATTAATTATTTCCTCCATCTGGTTGCTTCTGTTTTTTATGTTCAGTAGTTCACTCTTAATCTCTTTAATTTCATACTTCCTTTCCAGGATTTCTGATTGGTTCTTTTTAAAGTTTCCATTTCTTTGGTAAAGTTCATGTTTTGTTCATTGATTTGTTTTCTGAGTGCACTGAATTTCTTGTCAGTATTTTCTCGCATCTCATTAAGTATTTTCAGAACTGCAATCTTGAAATCTCTGTCATTTATATCAGATATTTCCATGTGTTCAGCTTGCTTTCTGGGGATTTTTCATTTTCTTTCTGGTCATCCTCCTTACTGCGGTTCTTCATGGTAGTTGCTGTCCTTTGCTTACTCATTTATCTCTGAAGAGGTTTTTCTACTATTTCCAGTAGATGGTGCTGAATCACAAGATTTTGTTTTTTACCTCTGTAGTCTCCCAGTTTTGAACCTCCTGGGCTTCTGTAAAATAGTATAGCTGCACTACTTACGTGGGGTTTGTTTTGCCCTAACTGTAATGGCAACCCCTGACCTCTGTGGGCTCCCACCCCAACCATCCCTCCTGGGGATCAGTTACAGAGAGAAACAGTGGTTCTACTGCTAAGATCTTAGTTTATAGATGATATGGTCCTGGACATGACTCCAAGGTCAATGGGAGGCAAATTTGGGAGTCCAGGGGCAGCAGGGCTCTGTGGTTTCATTTCTTTGTCTGAAACACCACTGTCTGACCCGGCAGTGGAGAGCCATGCAGCAGAACCCCCTGCTCTGTCAGGTATCTGCTGACTCAGTAACTGTTTGCAAAATTCCTCTCGCCCTGCTGTCTGCCACCTGCAACTCTTTGTTCCTCCCAGCCAAAGGATGTGGCTGCTACCACTGGCTTTCTATCCTCTCCTGGCCATCCAAGCCATGAGCTCCCCACTGTAGGTCTGTGTCTGTGGGCTACCTGTGCTTTCCTCCTTTCTTATTTCCCATTTATTCCTGGCTGCTCACCCTTCGATGGGCAACCAGGAATAAATGTATGGGTCTCTCAGGTATACGTCTGTTAAGCAGGGCTTTCTTTATTGAATTATTGTTGGTTAACTTGTTGAAATTTCAGAGGGAGAGAAAAGAGTGTGTTCTCATGCTGCCATTCCTCTGACATCACCTCTTTACATACTATTTTAAATGTAATTTTTTTCTCAGATATGTAGTTTGCAAATATTTTCTTCTACTCTGGATTTTGTCCATTCATCATTTTAATAGGGTCTTTTGCGGGATAAATGTTTTTCATTTTGATGAATTCTAACTTATTGATGTTTTTTAATGAATCATACTTTTGGTATCATATCAAGACCTTTTCATACGGCCCTAGGTCCTGAAGATGTTCTTCTATATTTTCTCCTAAATGTTTTACAGTTTTATATTTAACTCTATGATCTATTTTGAGATAATTTTAATTTAAAGTTTGAGGTTTAATTCAAGGTTTTCAAGGTTTTTTTGTTTGTTTGTTTTTGCCTATGGATGTCTAATTGCTTCAGTACCATTCCTCCATTGACTTGTTTGAGCATTTTTGTATGGGCCTCTGTCTGGTTTTTATTTGTTCCATTGATCTGTTTCTATCCTTCTGCCAATACTACACTATTTTGATTACTGTATTATGTAGTAAGTGTTAAAATCAGATAGAGTTATACCATCGTTTTTGTTCTTTTTCAAAATTGTTCTAATTCTTTTGTTTTTTCTTATAAATTGTAGAATAAATGTTTCCATGTCTACTAAAAAATCTTGCTTGGATTTTCATAGAAATTGCATTAAACCTATAAATCAGTTGGGGTAGAACTGACATCTTTTTTATGTTGAATCTTCTGAATCATGAACATGATATGTCTCTCCATTTGTTCAGATCTTCCTTGATTTCTTTCAACTGTAGGTTGTAGTTTTCAGCATACATATTCAATAAAATAATTTTAAATAATTTATATAGATAAGTTTAGAGGTAGAGAGTTTTGAAATGGAAATAGGTGTTAAAAGCAAATGTTATGTATTTATCTTTTCTCTCAAAGGTAGTTATAAAGAAGGGAAAGAGCTGCCAAGGGTGAGACCCAAGCAAAGGCTCTGGGCAGCCAGAAATGCCACAGGAGAAGAGACCCAGAGTGAAGTGAGGGGTCCCTGAAAGAAATGTGGAAAGATACCCCATGTGGCCCTCACTTACTTTATAGTGCTGTCAAGAAGCACCCAAAGCCACCACCAGCTCAGGGTGAGGCATGGAGACCTGTGATCTCACAAACAAGAGACACATCTCTCCTTTCAAAGAGGAGGTCCTTTATGAAATTCCCAGCTTTTCATCCAACTATGTCAAAGTAATGTGTCTGGATTTGAAATCACTCAGTGACTAGGAGACTCAATTCTAGAGAGCACATGTACAGTAACCTACTCAGGTGTCACATTCACTATGCTAATGTAGTCTTCTCACTAGCTCAGAGTGTTTTCCCTCATTGCCAAATAGTCATGGCAGTCAATAAAGATGCCATTACTTATCCTCACAATTCCCACCCACAAAGACACTAAGATATGACTTCTAGTTAATTCTATTATGTTCCTTTCCACAGGGCAAAGGAGCTAACATAGGAATGGTCATTTTATCTCCTACATCTTTGCAAAGAAAACAGTAAAACTGGCTCAAGTATTGAGAGTTTTTGCCTTAAATTCTCATCTTCTTCATGATAAAACAGAGATAACTAGAATATTAGCATTCAGAAAAACAAAGATGAAAATATAATATCCATGAAGCAATGACAAATCAAATTATATTATATTATAGCTGAAAGAACTAAAATTTTGTCTTTAAAGGCAAATATCTTTCTTCAGCAGAATATCATTTTTTAATGTTAAAATAAATGATTAATCTTTTATTAATTAGCATCTTATATTTTAACAGTGAAGATACAAAAGACAGACATGATAGTGGAGCCAGGAGAGATCCCTGAACAAACACATAGGAACCGGGGTGGGCAGGGCTCAGGAGGCCGACGGAGCGGGTGGAGGCCCCACCCTCCGAGAATGGGCCTGCACCCATGGGTGCTGCAAGACCTGGGCCAGCAGCAGCCGCTCTGAGGGCTGGTATCTGAGAAGCTTGCTGATCAAGTCCTGGGCCCCCAAAGGTATCGATGGAGGAAACTTTACATCAACCTTGAGGATGCGCCTGTAGGTCTCAGAGTAGGAGGAGCTCTTGAAGGGGGGATTTCCCACCAGCAGCTCGTAGCAGAGCACCCCGATGCACCACAGGTCCACCATCTCGCTGTACGTCCTCTGCTCGACCATTTCCGGGGGCAAGTAATCCAGAGTCCCGCACATGGTCTTCCTCCTCAGCGAGGGGGTGTGCACGGACCAGCCAAAGTCCGCAATCTTCACCTCCCCCCGGAGCCCCAGCAGCAGGTTCTCCGGCTTAATGTCCCTGTGGATCACCTTGTTCTCGTGGCAGTGTGCTAGGGTGAGGAACTAGGGTGAGGGACTGTGGCATGGAAGGGTTACAGAATGTTACAGAATGTGCTAAGGGGAGGGAATGGAAGAAGGATTGTGTTGTCAGGAATGGAAGAAGGATTGTGTATGTGCTGGGAGGAGGGACGGACGTATGGAGGGGGATTGCAGGGTTAGGAACCATGGAAGAAAAATTGCTTGATTGTATTAGAAAAACAATGTGGTATGATACGCCCAACCAGGTGTGACTCTGTTTACCCCCTTTTTGTTCTCATGAACTTCTTGTGAACTGTATGTGAACTTCTAATGAAATGCTTCGTAGTTTTTTTAGTTTTTTTTCTGACACTGTGTGATTTTGCTATAAAGGATCATACTGCACCCTTGGTCTCTGCCACATGCTGCAAACCTCCCAGAGGGGGAAGGTGCGGGCTGTGGACAGCTGGCCAGCTTAATAAACGGCTTTTAAAATTCAAATTCTGAGTCGGTAGTCTATCTCACTGAGCCAACCCATAACAGCAGTAGGCTAGAGCGTGCGCCAGCTCCTCCATGATCGTGGCTGTACTCTGCTCATCGATCGTGTGGCTCTTTTGCAGCTCCTTGTAGAGTTCACCCCGTGGCGCGTATTCCAGGATAAGGTACACACACGCTCATCATGGAAGTAGTTGTGTAGGCGTAGGATATTGGGATGTTGCAGATGAGATTGGATCTCGATCTCCCTGCGCAGCTGGTGCTCCATCCCCTCCTTCTCCAGCTGCGACTTGAACAGGACCTTGAGGGCCACGATGAAATGGCTGTCCCTGAGCCGGGCCAAGTACACGTTCCCGAACTTCCCCTTGCCCAGGGGGCACCTGATGTCAAAGTCATCGATGGTGAGGCTGCGGCTGCCAGGGGAGGGAGAGGAGGGCCTGGGTCGGGTTGGGGAGTCGGGTGGAGGGGGAGTCAGGGTGTCTGGAGGGCTCGCCTTCCCCTTCCCGGCCCCCTCCCTCCACCGCCGCCCCTGCTCCTGGCCCGGAAGGCCTGTGGGCCGCAACTGCCCGTCCCTCCCGGGAGCCCGCACGCTCCACGCAGCTCCGCTCACGTCTCATCCCGCGGCCCTGCGGCCCTTCCTCCTCCGGACACAGCGCCAGGGGCACTCACGCGGAATATCATTTTTGAATTTTGTCAGAAACAAATCACTAAGAAGGAATAGCATTTATTATTGCACAGAGTAATTCCTGAAGAGAAGGAAATGATGAGTGTGCAGTACCATGTCAGGATTTTGTTCAGACTTATGGAATATATTGAAAACACCAATGTAGACATTTATCCAAATTCCATTCAGGAACCCACAAATGAATGGAGCAGATTCCAAGACCAAATAGCATAAACTAGCACACAATAGAATATTGGTATCCATGAGAATAAATTACAAATTTTAATAGAAAGCTATCTACACTAATAATAGAAAATATGTAGTTGACCGTACCTCCGTGATGCCCCACAGCCAATCAGGAGGGAATATGCAAATTAGCGGGAGGCTTGGGTCGCCCCCGGTGATGAAGGAAGCCAAGTTTCCCACCTGCCTGGGATGGCCATCAAAGGAGGGGCCTTTGGGCAGCGGCCAAGAAGCAAGCCAGAGCGTGTGGGAAGCTTGGGTTGCCCTGGCCGGCCACTGAGGGAGGGGCCTGCAAATGGCCCTCAGCTCCTCATCCAGAATGGCCATGCCACCATCGGGGTGAGGGTACCTGCTGGGGGGCATGGCCAGCCTGAAAATGACCCTCAGCCCCTTACCCAGCTGGCCACGCCCCCATGGGGTGAGGGTCCCTGCTGGGGGGTTTGGCCAGCCTGAAAACGGCCCTCAGCCCTTCACCCAGGCTGGCCAGGCACCCAAGCGGGACCCCCACCCTGACCCAGGACACCCTTCAGGGTAAACCAGCTGGCCCCCACCCGTGCACCCCCCAAGGGAACCCCCACCATGATCCAGGATACCCTTCAGGGCAAACCAGCCAGCCCCCACCCGTGCACCAGGCCTCTATACTAATAAAAGGGTAATATGCTAATTAGACTGGGAGACCTTCCAGAAGACCTTCTGGATGTTCTTCTGGACAAAGCCATGATGGTGGGGCCAAGGTAGAGGCGGTTAGGGGCCAAGAGGGGAAGGCAGTTGTGGGTGATCAGGCCAGTGGGGAGGACAGGTGGGGGCAAGCAGGCCAGCAGGGGGAGGCAGTTGGGGGCGAGCAGGCCAGCAGGCAGAGTGGTTAGGGGCAATCAGGCAGGCAGGCAGGTGAGAGGTTAGGAGCCAGCAGTCCTGGGTTGCACAAGGGATGTCCAACTGCCAGTTTAAACCGGCAGTCAGACATCCCCCAAGGAGTCCCAGATTGGAGAGGGTGCAGGCCAGGCTGAGGGTCACCCCACCCCCTGGCACAAATTTTGTGCACTGGGCCACTAGTTTAATATAAATTAGTTATACCTACTACCTGAGATTACTTGAGAGGGTTCAGAACTTGTACTAGAAGAGGAAATGAAATGGGCACAACAACTAGAACAGTATACAGTTGGGCATTTGGAAGGGGGTTCTAGAGAAAGCCAGAGTGTGATTTTGTTAAGTAGAAAGAATGAGCTGGGAGTCTATATACACAGAGTCTTTGTTACCACCATATGGGCTTTTTTGAGGCTTGTGAAAGTCATAGTGAAGGAATGGCATTTCCCAAATAAACATAGTGAAGTTCTTGACAATTTGTTTCTATAGGCAAATGTTATCTAAACAAGACTTAAATGTGATTTGTTCATGTTTGGAGGCACCACAAGAAGTAGTCAAAAAACATAATAGTAGCTGACCAGAAGAAAGCGAACACTCAACAGTCTTACTCTGAGCCAGGCACTGTTCTCAGTACTGTGCAGTTGTGGCTGATTATCCTCAGGACAACCCCATGAACTAACAGATGAAGAAAATGAGATGAAAACAGGTTCAGTTAACTGCCCAAGATTATTTAAGTTAGACAGTGGCAGAACTAGAGCCCATGTTCTTAATCACTATGCTATGAAAGCAGTTTAATAGGATATTAAATGAGTCAGAAATAGAAAATTGGTGCTAAGTCTTCCCACATGTCACAGTAATTTCCTGTTTTTGAATTGGTCCCTGCCATTAAGACTGGGAGATTCACACTGATTCTACAAAGATTTAAATAAGGAAATGCAATCTCTGAGGGAGAATTTCTCCATGAGGAAAGAAAGGGCCTAGCAGGGGAGATTTGGCTAAGAGACACAGAAAAATGATGACAAAAGAGAAGGCTGGAATCCAGGCTATGGAACAACCATTCCAACCTGCACCAAAGGGTTAAGTCTGCAAAATCTAATAAGAAAGTCGAAAGCATCTCCAAAGGCCCTGGTGAAGTGACCCAAGTAGGCAGGTAGTAAACAAAAGGGACAAAAATGTGAGGCAACAACTACTCATTGTGTGAAGCCAAATCCAGTTGACTGAATACATCACACACCTCTAAATTACCTGCTTCATGGTTTACTTGTAATTTGGTGAAATCACTTTGCCCGATAAGCATCTGTGTACCAGGAGACTTGTGCTGAAGACCATTAGTGGGGCAACACCATGGAGAAACAAAGGAAAAGATGGCTTTCCTAAGGTCTCACCCTTTTGAGAAGAGCCCAGAAATTCCTTCACACCACCTGTGAAGGAACTAGCAGCTCACAAGAGGGAGCCTTCTCTGTGGTCCATTCTATTACCATGGTTCCTTCTTCTCTGCAATTATGCTTAACAGGAAACCAGGATTCATCTTCCCAAATTTTGGCTTTGAGATGCACCAGGATATAGCATGTGGTGTTGTGATTTCTTGATCACATAACATTTGCCAGTCCACCAGATCCACTGTGGCCGAGCTTAGAGCTCAATAACCAGCATCATCACCAAGCTTCTCAGAGCTTCTCACTGAGGCCCAGGACAGCATTGATACATCTATTTCAGGCCACCAGGGGGAGGTAAAACTCTCTCAGAGCCTCTCCTTACCAAGCAGTGTTATTTTTGCAATGAGGTAGCCTGCTGGACACAGAAGACAAAAGTCAGCACTCAAATGAGCCAACTCCTAGGTCCCTCCCTGACACTCTCCAGAATGAGAGTGTTTTCCTGGTACTCAGTATCCACCTGAGACCTCTGGTCCCATCCACCTGCTGCTTATTCTGGCTGAAATGTCCTTCTCTAATCTCTCTTCTTCTTTGGATCTGTCTATTCTCAGTCATACCGTAGGAATTACCTTGTTCACCTCCTCTAGGAAGTCAACACTGACTGCCCCAAGGTTATAGTATAATCCACTTATATCTATGGTCCCTAGCACCCTGTGCTCACCTCATTATAGCATTTATCAAGCTATGTTGCAATTTCTTTTTTACTTTCCTCCCACTAGCCTATAAGCTCCATGAGGGAAGGGTCTGCATCTGGTTCATGGCTGACTGATAACCAGTACTCAATAGAGTGCACATTCTGGACCTTGACAAATATTTGCAAGAGGAGTTAATGTTGGAACCCAGCTGATGTAGAGAAGTGAAGGCATCATTCAAGAACACAGTTGATGTCAGACAGGCCTGGGTTAGAATTCCAGTACTGCCACGTACTAGCAAAGTGATGTTAGACCTACCAAAACTTTAATTTCCTCATTTATAAAATAACAACCGCAACATTGACAATCTACACTAATAAAAGAGAAACAAAGTAATTAGCATACAACCGCTACCCTTTTCATTGGCTAATCAGTGAGTATATGCAAATTAACTGTCAGCCAAGATGGTGGCCGGCAGCCAGGCAGCTGGAAGCGAACATGAGGCTTGCTTGCT